TCCCAAGCTGATGTGGGCTTAATACGCGGCTGGGCTTATTAGCCGTGGGCTATTAAAGCCGGCGACTACTGTATTAGTTTTTTTTCCAGCTTATAAGAGTCCCTTTTATTCGTGCACTTTACCTCTTGAAGTTTTCGTTGTTCACCAACGTCGTCATCCCAGTTGTCATCGAAAATCGAACCTCTTTCTTGTCTTCAATTTTACCGATCCCCTCCCCCTCCCTGACAGTCATCCTTAAAAATAACTAATGGCTGATAAAATATCCTTACCTCGGTTCAATTTAACTTAATTTATCAGGGGAAAGATTGCCGTAACCATTTGCATATCCTAGTTACAAATAAAAATAAACCTCTGCAATGCCCTGTATCTCCAGCTACTAACTTATTTACTTACTTACCGGCCCTATCACAGCGTAACTGTAGTGATCAAAGGAAAACCGGTCTTTTATGCATGGTATGGTCCTCCTGCAGTATACATCCGCACACTGCACCTTACTGGCAGAACTTTGGTGTCACATTCCAGACTATAAAGCAAGTAATTTTGCTGTTGCGCATCCATTTTTACTTCGGCCAGGAGATTCTAATTTTTCTATTGACAGAATGTAATTACAAGTTAGGGCACGTTTAAATAGGTAATTTTAAAAAACCTGCACATTTTTCTTATGTAGTTAATTTTCAGCCTCCCGCTTCCCATCACAGGGATTGTTTAGAACTTTGATGCGTCTTTGGCTCGGCAGATTGTGACATTTTTTATTTCGATTTTGCCATGTGCTGGGGCTAAAAAATCCTGCCTCTCCTAACTGACGCCCTGAACATACAGCTTTGTTGATAGTGTCGACAATTCCTGACCGTCATGGACTAACTGACTAACAGTCTTTGATATATTTGTGCGTTTAACCGTAGGAAAGATCAGCTAGCATACTTGATCACCGCTTTAATTAGTATATTTTGCTTTGAGACTGTCTGATCATCTTTCTGTGTCTTTCAGTGTGAAGAAATCCTGGCGCTGTGCAAGTTTCTGTCGCCCGCTACATTTGCTTTGCGAGACCTGAAATTGAATCTCGATTGGGATCCTTGGTGGCCCTTCGACTCCAGTCTCCTTCACGTGTCCTTCAGCCTAGCCCTTCTCTGGTTGGGGTGAGTTTAAAATGCAGTTTTTCTTTGCAACCTCAGTACTTGAACGATCTGACAAGTTCGCCAAAATTCTACCCGTTTCCCTGACTTATTTAAAGTTTTTTTCGGGATCAAATCAACTCATAAGGTCAAAATAACGAGAGGAAGTGTATGCTAAACTATCAACTCCAATTTCGACCACGACTTTACACGGGTTAGCTCACCTGTCGTATATATCTCTTTGAGAGAAATGAGTTCTTTGGGAAAGTTAACCCATTTTATTTTGTAAATTTTTGACACTGGTTCCGCAAGTCGTCAGACGTACAGCAAATGGGTGAAACAGCCAAAATTTTTAACGTGCCTGAAAAGTGAATACTGCTAAGTCATCCTGGCCGATAAGCCATCGCTGTAGGCTGACATATTTCACGAATTAGCTGCCGCCCTTTCGGTCTTTCGTTTTTTTACGTAGCATCAAGTTCGACGTGCCGAGTGTATCTCCCCATCAGTTATCTGCCTTTCTCAGATGGTCAAGCACCATAAATGGGAGTTTTATGCAGTATGTGCGTAGCAACTTAGGCCAAGCGGTCACGCCTCTTTACCGCGAATTGATATTCGTTTATACATGGAGAGACCAATTTTCCATTTTGGCCACAGTACACTGCATTGCAATGGGGGCACGGAATCGTCTAGGCGACTTCTTCTCTTCTAGGTAGCTAACCTTATCCTTTGAGTGTAAAGGCTGGTTGCGCATTGCAGTCGTCAGTTTCTGACCTTTATACTTAGCGTTTCCGCAGTTGCTTTTCAACGAGTTCTGACATATTCTTGACGTAAGAAAATATTCGCCGATTGTTTGTTTTCGACGTCTAATGTGAGCAATCAAGTTCACGGCTCTTTTTAAAATTTCAGCCGTCGTTATTTCTTGCATCAACGTACAAAATCTCTAGGGTGTAGCCATTTTAGGAGAATAGCTTGAACAAACAGTTAAGGTTTATTTGATACCTTTAATTCTCAGAACAGTATACCTTTGCTCGACTATGGTTATTATTAACAGCACTCCGTTTGCGAGAAATTGAGAGCCCTAGTTCAATTCCCAATCGAATCCAGATTCGAATTTCCTATCTTTGCCGGGGCTGCGGTTTTGCTGAATAACGACGGCGAAAAGCTCAGTATGATAATTCCAGTCTTCCATGTCCTTTTTGATTGCACTTCTCCAGTTTTCTTTACCGAGCAGCTGCGTGGCTTAGGATTTATATTAAAAGTTCCCTGGTTTTTGTTGTCTTCGCACTCCGTTTTAGGCATTAAAAAGCAGCATACCGCATTTTCCCGCGTATTGCTCTCCTCTTTTTCTTTCACTCTCATAGTGGTTCGTTCGCTCTGAAAATCTTTCCCCTCTACTCCCCCTCTTTACCCACCTGAGTGTTTTAGCTGGGAAATTTCGGTATTATGCAAAGTAAATTGCAAGAAGGTCAACATTCCACCTCGTAGGCGTCAGCTAGAAGTTGTACTTTTAGACTGCGTTAGCAAGAGTTCGTGTGAGCGCTTCAGAATGCTTTGGTGGGAAAAAAGGCACAGCCAACACTATGGGATTAAGACTGCCCTCAAAGGTTACTTGGTGGTGAGAGGGGAAGTTATATGTGGTGGGCTGTTGTCCTGCTCCGACGAGAACCATTAATACCCGAGGACGCATAAGCTATGCGTACTTGATCGGGGTTGTCGTGAAGGGATTTGCGCAGTGACGGCCTAGCTGCTCCCACGCTCATCTTGCTGTAGTGACCAAACAGAGTTCTTTTTCTGAATCATAGCGTATTGCTGTCTTGTCACGTAGTGATTTTCAGGCAACTTGGGGGCATTACGGAGTAAAAGCCTTCCGGCTTGATCTGCATTTCCAATTCACATTCTTTGTGAATAGCCACCAGATGTAAATAAGATGCTGAGCGGGTAAATCGGCCCAAGTGTGATTAAACTCACGGCCCCCGGTGGGGCCGTGATAGCTCAGTTGGCTATAGTGTTGGCCGTACTAAAGTCTTCTTCTTGCTGGCGTAGGTCCAAATAACACAGAGGCCGCCGAGTTTTCAAAAATTGCGTCAAAGGACTTATTGAAATTCACGAAACTCTTCTTATAATAAGATGTCTGATGGGCATCTACAATGGCGCTTTAAATTACTTGTTTTAAACCTACATAATACTTTTAATCGACCACCAGACTCCAGATGGGGGAGACCCAATGTTTGTATGTTAAGGTATTCATTTTAAATTTTGCAAAATTTAGGGGAATAACTTCTCGGCCTTACTAATCTATCTGGTTTTGCTTTTATATTGATGATACTAGTGGTAATGGCGGTTGTTGTTGTGGTGCAAGGGGAGGCTTTACTAGCATTTTTTTGCCTGTAGTATTCGGTCCGCAGAAAAATATGGATTTCATCAAGCTGATAGCCTGTTTATATTAAATTGCTCCAGTACCCGGTCTGATCCATCTTCTTCCTGTGAGTTTTTCAGAGTGGCGCTCCCTCCTCTAGCTGATTGGTAATTTTAGAGCGATAATCAATCCAGTCCAGATTATCTTCATTAATGTTAGCTGCATATCCCTACCAAACTTGAGTATGCCTATCTGACGATGAAGGCCTCTGCGAGTCCGAAACTTCAGATAAATACACATACTAGTGTAGAAATGAACTGCATTTTCTTCTTATTTTATTAAGACCCCTGAGCCGGATTGTGCACCCTTCCTTTGTACCCTAGACTCTCAGATGAAGCTGTTGATCAGTTTATTGAGGGTTCCGTCAGCCTGCGTAACTGCCTCAGACCCCTCCAGCCCACCTCCTCCACCACAGCTGCCGCTCAGGAAC